AAAAAGAATTAGACTCTTTCAAAGGCAGGGGTGGTGGGGAGGGGGTTGCTAGAGAGATGGTTCAGTGGTTAAGATCACTGGATACTCTTCCAGAGGACCCAGGTTCGATTCCTAGCACCCACATGGCAGCTCCAGTCCCAGGAGCTCCACCTACAATGGCACTGTATGAACCTACACAATAAAACAAAAATAAATATGATCTCCAATAAAGAGCAAAAATTAAAATCTAACCTTCCGTGCAAGCCATAACTAAACCAGTGATTTCAGGCCACTGCCACCCATCCTCCCACACACCAATCCTCCTGACAAGGACTGCAGGAAACAGACTTCCACACCACCCACCACACACCAAGCCAGGACCTGTGTTTGAGGTGTCATTTCACAGTCGGGTGGCACTTTGAAACTCAGGGGCTCTCGGGTGCAGTTAGGCAATTAACGACTGGGGGCTGGGGTCGAGGTGGGGGAGGTGAGTGACATCACAGCACTTTCCATCTTTACAGTGGCAATGTGATGTCAGCAGCCCACACAGCGCTGCAGTCTGTGTCTCCGTCTCTTTAGTACCTGAAGGATGGCAGGGTATCAACAACATTTGTAGAAGTGAAGGGATGGTTGACTAGGGAACACGGAAAGGGCAGCATGAAAATTTAGAAGACTCAGAGTCCCTCTGGGGGCCTAGCCTAAGGTATTGCTGTCTTCCACCCCCGCCTGACAGACTTCACTGGACAAGTATTTGTGTTGTGCGTGAGCAGCTGCCCTCAACGCCAGGTACAGCAGGTGGTTGTGAGTTCCACTTAAATTCCATAGGTAAAAAACTGACCATAAGGTATGGGAGAAAGCTGAATTTTTCTAGCTATGAATGGGGGTGGGGTGGGGTGCAGATTTGGAGCCAAAAATTAGCTCTTACTGTCTGTGTGGACAAGGACGATCTTGCCTGGAAGAGTGGCCCTGACGGCTGCGTGCTGCCGCAGAGCGGGGGGAGGGGCACTGGGCAATCATTCAGCTCCATACACTGATTTTACAAATGAAAAGACTGTTGGGTGCTGGAGTCCCACTGCTTTGCTTTATCGGCCAGTACTTTCATCTGCAAAGTGGGTCTTTGGTAAGAAAAATTTCTCATCTGCTTCATAAAAGGAGCTCTCAGAGATAAAGAAGAGATCCTCCCAGACAGGGGTGGGGATGTGTGTGTGTGTGGGGGGGGGGAGGACGACACTGAGGCCAGAGGGCCGAGAGTTCAAGGCCTGCCTGGGTTACGTAGGGAGATTCTGTCTAAATGAACAAATAGCAATAGAAACTGTGAGGTGGAGGACAGAAACGCTGTTGCTGGCTTTGAACATGAATGATTCTCCAGCTACTCACAAGCCTACCCACAAGCAGCTTCCCATCGGAAGGAATGCCAGGTTCCCCAAACAGTACTGCAAACATCACTTAAAAGCAAACATGTGTGGGAGGGGTGAGGTGGCGGCCTTCTTTGATAATTGCACACTTACTGTGTAAATTTGTGCAATTATTTAACCTGAAAGTTGTCTTTATCTTGAAAATAGTAGAGGTAATAATGCACATCCAGATATTAAAGAAATGAGATCTCTCCATATAGTCTCTGGCACTTACTTGGCACTCAATAAATACAGGTTTCTGTTCTTAACTGGTCCAGGTCCTTTTACTGACTAACCTACCTATGGGACCATTCTGTGTAATTGCTGATGTAATCACTCTCAAAGGGGACAATTCTATCAACACTCCATCAGTAGATACAGTCAGCTTTAATATTTTCTATTGCTAACTTGGTGTGGAGACTCCACAGATGAAAATAAACATGCTTACTCCCTAGAGAGACTGAACTGTGAACAGAAAATAACAGTCCCACGAGACAAGCTGTAGGGACAGAATGGGGGTGGTGGGAGTGGGAGCAGAGTTGGAGTTGGCTTGGGTAAGTGATGGAGGGCTGCCCTGAGAAAGCTCTGGGCTTCACTGGGAAGGAGGGGGCGGTGGTAGGTGGAAGAGGATGAGGTGGGGGAGGACATAAAGTGAGGAAACACATTTTGTATAATAAGGGGCTATTTTGGAATTGCTGCAGATGAGGACGCCAGTGAGGAAATTTGAGCAGGAAGGTGACAGTGACCCCACCAGTATCCCTAGTGGTAAAGTGAGGGTAGGCTAACTGGAGCCCACAGGTACCTAGCCCACCCCACCCCACACTCTTTTTGGGAAGTGGTACAGGAGATTGAATATGGGGTCACACACCTGCAGACTCTACCTGATATAGTCTATTCTCCTAATCACTCTTGTAGTTAGTCATTTAACAGTCAGGGAAGGCCTGCTGTGAACCGAAGGCAGGCTGTATTCCAAGAGTTAGAAATCAGGCAACACACAAGGACTGGCAAGGTCTATTTTTTCAAGAAGGGGAAGGATTATAGATAGATCAGCAAGGACATCCAGATAAAGGCCTAGGAAATGAGACTCAGGACGGAGGAGGACTCAGGTGGCTGCCCTCTCCCAGTTTAACAATGCTTCCTAGTCTCCAGTGGTCTGACTTTGGTTTTCCAAGGAGGCTTTGCTTCTAGAAAGATTACTGTGGTAAATAATTAAACCAGTATGTTTTGTATTTCTAGGGAGCCTTGCCTGAGCAGGGATAGTTAAATCCAGTTTCCCCCCAGGACCTAATCAATCTTGATAATTGGTACTTGAGGGCCACAGCTTCAAGATGTCACAAATCTAATGTTTTAGGAAGGTCTCAGACCTTTTACTGACCATAGTTTCTATGTAATTAAACCCTCCCCTTCCCTCATTTCCTCTCTTCCCAATGCATATGCACACTCTTTAAAAAGACAGCACTGGTGAAATTGTGCATGGCTCTGCTGTACAATATGCACACTTTAAAATCAGGCCTGCCACTTCTGGTGGGTTTTAAACTGAAACCCTGCTTCAAATGCACCTTTTCAGGCAGCTGGGCAGCACATCCCGGCAGCTGCCAAGCATAGCAGAGCAGGGGTGGGGGTGGGGGTGGGGGTGGGGGGGAGCTGGAGACTGGTACATCACCTTCAGGGGTGCTGGTATGTAAGCCTTTGGTGTTCTTTGGTGCCAGAGGGATGCCAGCCAAGAAGAAGAAGCGAACATTGTATTAAAAGCAGCTGCAGAAGCCAGGGGCTTGAAAGGCAGATTTCCCAGTGTGCCCTGTGGTCTTCCCGAATTTGACACATTTACTCACTGCGGTTTTGTTTTAGTTTTCTGTGATAACTTTCAAAGACACAGGAAAAATCCAGTTTTAGGGTTATTAGTGAAAACCTCTCTGCCCAGTTTCTTTGGATTACCTGTTAGAATTTGTCCTCTGAGGGACAGTCAGTAGTGACTAAATTAGGGTTTCAGCTCCAAGAGTTTTGTTTTTTCATTCTGTTTGAAACACTAATAAAAACTGTAACATTGTTTCTTTAGCAGTTTACACCTTACAGGTACTTTTTACACTCCTTTGAAAACTATAAACTCAGAACTGAATGCTAATTTAGCTATCATTTTCTGAGATCGGTGCTATTTACATTGATTGGGTCTATTTCTTAAGCTCCCCTCTTCCTGGATCTGACAGATCCACCCCTTCCTCCTTCATCCACGGAAACTTATGTATTGGACACCCTCCAGGTTCTACATATTTTGTTAGAAATAAAGCAGGAAACCAGACAGACTTGTTTGCTACTCTTATGGACCTCCAAGGGGGAAGACAGACATTAAACAAATAATTACATACAAGAAGCATGTTTTTAAAAGGCACTGTGGGGGCAGTCAAGGGCATGATACCCTGGGAGGTAACCTGTGGGCTGGGGCAGGGTCAGGAAAGGCTTCTGGTAAGGAGGTAGGAAGTGATGTTTAAACTGAGGTCTAGGGGATTAGAAAACAATTTCTCAGAGGTTGAAAAGAACATGGCATTACATACTAGTATCAACGGCAGTAGGGGAAAGGCGCATGCTCCATACTAACTGAGGGGCAGTGGACGCTGAATGCGGGTGAGTGTCCAGCAGGACACAGAGAACGCTGCTTGAGCAAGACTTTTCAGATAAATAGGTGGAGGAGGCTCAACAGGGATCAGATATTGTGTATTTTCCTCTCTCATCCCAAGGAAGCAGCCTTCACCTGCTATTTTTAAAACAAGAAAACCAAACTTTTATCTGTTAATTACTACAGGATAGGAATTCACACAGATAAGTACTGTTTTTCCAGTGGATAGGAGAGGGAAAAGGCTTGAGAGGACTAGCTCTGGTTCGCTATCAAGTAGCCAGCAGAGCTAGCCTCTCAATCAACACTTAAGAGGCAGCTCACTTTCTACACCCCCTCATTGTCAAAGCTGGTCCAAGCCTTGTTTTTAACATCAATATTATACAGCTTGGGAAAGTGGTAAAGGAGTTTTGACTGAGGAATCTGAAATACCACCGTGGACAGAAAGCCCTAGGTAAAATCAGGCAGAAGACTGAAGGGTGGAGTAGCAAGGGTGGAAGTGGCTTGCAGGGTCCTAGAGGCGTGTTCTTCGGGGAGGTGCCTGAGCTAATGAACCACTATCCGGCCCAGCCGGTTAATCATTTCCTGACCTTTCTTTTTCCTGCCTGAAGGATTGCCACATCGGTCTTCCCTTTCCCTTGCTTGCCTCCTGCCACGCAAGGCTCCTTCACCAGGTAAAACAAAACATAACAAACAAAAAAACCAACCCCAACTTTAGAGACTAGGTTTGTCAAAGTTTCAGGCATCCTCAGAGCCCAGACAGTGAGGTCGCAGGCTTTCTCCCTCTAGAAGCTTGTTCTCTCTTCACCTTTTTCTAAAGAGAGATCAGGAGCTGGGGTTCATTCCCTCGAGAGTAGGTTATACTCTCCGTTTTACTGAAGCAGCAGCTTGGGAGAGTGTTTTGAGGATTAAACAAGATACGGCATTGGCATTCGAAGTGCCTGTCTGGGAGACTGTTGTGGGAGTCTAACAAATAAATGTTACACCGCCTCCTTTTTTTTTTTTTTTTTTTAAATCACCTGGTAACCCGGACCTTGTGCAGCAAACCAGATTGTTATTTCATTCAACTTCGAGAGGTACAGGTATGAAAAGTCCCACAATAGGCAGTGAGTCACAATGGCAGGGCTTACACCCAGGTACCCCGGAGGTCCTGTGGGCCCAGGCTTGCAGCATCTTGTGACGCACTCAGGCCAGAGTTCAGAACCCAGAATGGTTCAGGACTGCACCTGCTACAGGGAGCACTGTTCTGGGCCCCCTGCAGCCGGCGTGGCTACCGAAGGGCACTCCCCAAAAGCCCCCTAGCCTGTTTCTTCCAGTGTAAAATGGGATTTCAATGCTTGTCGGTGCGAGTGTTTTTTATTTTCCGCACACTTTGCAGCGTGGCCACATTTTCTCCTTCCAAGTCACGCTGTAGTTCACTGTAGTAGGTGAAGCGGTCCCAACCGGTTTGCCCAGGCTGGGTACCCACACTTGCTGGGGTCCCAAGAAGCGCCCCTACTCGGGGCAGTCAGAGTTGGGTAAGGCACTTTACAGCCTGGCGGTACACTACTCCAGCAGATGGTGAGAGCCACGGCCCCGCCCGCTGGCTAGCACGGGGGCGGGGCGAGGCTGGGACTGGGGGGCGTGACCAACAGCGTGGGCGGGGCCAACAAGAGAAGGCGGAAGCTTACTGTCTCCGGGCGGCGGCAGAACCAGGAGTCTGGATTTCCACGTTCCTCGGAGCGGGGCGCCGGGGGACGGCGGGTGGCAAAACCCGGCGCCCGGAAACCCTTGCTTTCTTTGACGCAAAGGCTCGGGACGAAGCAGCCGCCGTCTGCCCAGCGCCGGGCTAGGAGCGACCCCAGACGGAGCCTCCGAAGTCCCTCCGCCCCACAGCTTCGGCCGTCTCCACCGCCGTCCTCGTGGCCATGGAGTGTCCGCACCTCAGCTCCAGCGTCTGCATTGCCCCGGACTCAGCCAAGTTCCCCAACGGCTCCCCGTCGTCCTGGTGCTGCAGCGGTGAGTGCGGCCCCGGGGCTGGCCGGTCGCGCACCCGAGGTCCCGGCTCTGGCCCGGGCCTTGCCGTCGAAGGGCCGCGGGCGGGTGGCGCGCGGCCTTGGGGGAGGCTGCGGGGAGCGGGCCCGGCGCGCGGGGCGAGGGGACGCGGCGCGGCGGGCGCGGCGGCGGCTCCTTTGTTTCGCGCGGCCCGACGGCCGGGCCGGCAGAGGAGAGGCCCGCGGGGGCCTGAGGCTAGCGCGCAGAGGCTGGATGACCCGGCGGCCGGTACCCCAAAGCTCTGCGAACATAAGTGCTGGCCACGCGTGTGGCGAGTCCGGGCTCGGGGTCTCCCGCGGGCCGGACAGGAAAAGCGCCGCTCTGCGGACGCAGCTTTGTCTGGACTGCCGGGCGCGCGGGCCACTTCGGGCTGCGCTCCCCCCCAACCCCCGGTTCCCACAGGCTCCTGTCCCCCGCCCCCGCAGTCCCCACGGACTGCGCTGGGGGCGGCTCAAGTCGGAGTCTTGCCTCAGCCTGGGAGGGTGAAGTTTGAAAACAGGCTACCGGCTCCGAAAGCTCGGGAGAAGGCAGTCAACAGCTGCTTTGGAGGGGGGCAGCTCGAGGTTTTTTTTTTTTTTTTTTTTTTTTTTTGCCTTTCGAAGATTGTTCCGAGACAAGCTTTTGGGTTGGTCGGGATTGCATTGGGAACAAGCACACGAGTGCGTGTGCTGTAAGACACTTCTTAGGTTTATGTTATGCTTGTGGGTTGCTTAAGCGTTAACTCTTTCTGCCCCCTTGGAAGCCCTGGTGCCCTCTCATTGTCTGCCGGGACTTTAGGTCGAACCGGCCACCCCGCTTTGATTACTTCCTGGTAGGGCCCTGGTGCCGACGCTCGTCTTTGTTTATAAGCTTTAAGATCGTCATTGGCAGCTTGGGCTGTAGTGTAAAATGTGAATAGTGTATATCAGAAATCAAGTTGATAGTGTGGGTCCGCAGAGTGGTTTCTTTTCCTGGGTTGGTTTGGCGCTTGGAAGGTAGTTATGGAGACTGTTTTAATACTTTTGACAGGTTACGTCTTAAAAGGTGATTATGTTCTTGAAGCACAACACACAGAGAGGCACAAAGAAAGCTGTCCCACAGGATAAGGAATAGACGTAATGCATTTTTCATGAACTCCTAAGACTTGGTGGTGCCTTGCTTACCTTTGTAAAGTCAGGTGTCTTTTTCTGCATGAAGACTTTAAAAATTAACCAGTTAATTGGTTTCACAGGGCAGTATTGCCGTTCCTTTGGTGTGGGAGAGTGGGTCTCTATTATAGCCCAGGGTGACCTAGAATTCGTAATTTTCCTGCCTCAGCCCTTGGAGTGCTGGGATTATAGGCATGTGCTACCATGCTGGGCCAGTATTGCAGTTCTTTGTGGGAATGTAGGAACTTGTGTAAATAGGCCCTGAGCTGTTAATACATCTTTTAACAGTGGGTCTTGAGCTTGGAACATAACAAAGGTGTATCACACACGGACTGGTGGTCTGTTAGATAATTAACTATAGCTGTGGGGCTATAGCTGATTTTTTCTCAGACTTTTCAGATACCCCCCACCCCCACCCCCCAGACACGGCCACTAAGAAAAGCATACACCTCACAAGGAATGGGGCACTTCTCTTGTTCATCTGTGGTCAGCTACAAGGATTTATTGGTGGGTGCGTCAGCACAACCGGTTTCTTTTTTTTTTTTCTGTGTAAAATCACATCAAACTTAGAAATGGCTTCATTGTGCACATGCATCTAAAAAAAGACAAGAATTATGCAAGTGGCAGATATCCTGTTGTGAGTCAGTCTTGCCTCCATCAGTCAGGAGTCCACTTGACTGGGGAAAAGGGATGCAGCAAACGAAGCCTCTCCCGAGGAATTCAGTGCATTAAAATGGAACAAAACTGGGAGGTTTGTGCTGACAGCAGAAACGAATTAGTAATGGAAGGGTGATTTCTGTCCAGGGCCGAGAGTGGCATCTTTACAACATGCAGCAAATGGTTGCCTCCGACCCTGCTTTGGAAGGGTGGGTCTAATCGCTTGCATTTGTAGGACCAATAAAGCTTGTTTCACAAGTCTGTGGGTGTTTTCTGTCCATCCCTGTTTCATTTGGGCCTCCCATATTAACTTTTTGGCATCCCTTCATTGGGGATGTTACTGTATTGCAAGTGTTACTGTATTGAGCTTGATCTTGTTTTTGCCTGCCTGTAGTTTCAGTAATTAAATGATTGGTAAATCTGTGATCCCTTAACTAACCCCTCATCTTGGAGTGTTATGTATTCTGAGTTTTTTTCTTAACACTCCAGAATTTGTTTGTTTTTGGTAGGAGATTAGAAGGGTAACAAGTGTGTTGAAATAATGCTCTGAATGGTATTGAATCTGATTACACTCTTACTGAGGAGGGAGAAAATCCCTCTTTTGGCACCTGGACAATAAAAGTAATACCTCCGCCTTACTTTCATTGGGAGCTTGCAATTATACCCCAATGATGCAGCCACGCAGATTGCAAAAGACCAACAGCCCAGACTCTAGTGGGCAGTGCCTCCTTGGACTAGCACTTCTGTTTCCTTAGTGTCAGTTTCATTACGTCATCTGGAAAAAGAGGAGCACTTTGCATTTACTTCACAAGTCTCTGTTAGGGTGAGCAAGATTGTGTGTGTGTAAAGTTTGAGAAACTGATGCTTTATGGTGTCTTAAGTAATTTATGGTATCATAAACTTGTACACATTTATAAATAGGATTCTAAAAATTAAATGCCTAAAGCCCACTAAATGGAGCCCAAACAGATTGGCTTTATGATGTATTGTTTTACAGGGAGATCCAGAACTCAGCAAAATTAAGGGGTAAGGAGTAATGATACTTCAGAATTAACCTGAGCTGCTTAGCCCTGGAAGGCACTGTGTTATGTAATTGTATGCTATAGTACTTCATACAACTTTTTGTTTGCAAGACCCCTTTATAGTCTCAACATTTTTCAGAACCTAGATTATTTGTGTGGCTTTTATCTATTGATATTATCATATTGGAAATAAAAATTAAAACTGTAAATATTTATGTACTAATTTAATTACAAGTAACAATAACAGACCTAACAGTTACTAACAGAAATGATAGTTCATGCAAAAAGTTTTCAGAACAAAAATTGAATGGGAAGAGAGGTTCTTAAGTTTTATGCTTTTGTATCTTTATCTTACTGGAAGACAGCTGGATTCTCACATCTGCTTCTGTGTGCTGTCTCTTGAGATATCACACTTCACGTATTATCTAGAAAACTTCATTCTGTGCTTTTGAGAGACCGAAAGGAAACATTCAAAGTAATATAGTAATCTCCCTCCCTCCCTCCCTGAATGTTTCCATGAAAATCCCTTTGACCTTCTGAATCCATTGAAAGGAGATCCCTGAAATCTTAAGGTTCAAAACACAACTTTGAGATCTCATAGGCAAAATAGTTAGGGACACCTGCTCTTACCGAACTCAAGTTACAAAATTACAGAAATTTATGGGCTGGCAATTGGTATCTATTTGTAGAGACTTGGAATTTAAAATACATGGGGTCTAGTGGGCCCTTGCACTCAAAGAGGTTAGTCTAATCTAGATGGAAAGTCAGAAAGCTCTCTGGTTAGAAGATAAAAATCCATGTAGTGGTTTAAGGTAAATGTTGAAAATAGCAATCTCCTAATAAGGTAAAAGCTGATTTATGCCTAATTGTGGCTAAGGGCATTCTAGTTTTAAATTACAAAAGTTTAAATGAAAACTGGGCCAATCTCTCAAGCCTTGTGTTATGTGCTCATACCAGATGTTATTTTCAGAAGCTAGAGGCTTGGGTATTTCTTATTTTTGTGGGTGGAAAAGTTTAACCAGTGACAAAAGACAGGGATAAAAGATGAAGTACTTACCAGGTGGTAGTGGTGGGAAGGCAGCCAAGAGGCAGAGGCAGGCCAGCCTGGTCTACAGAGCTAGTTCCAGGACAGCCAGGACTATGCATAGAGGAAACCCTGTCTCAAAAAACCAAACCAAACAACAAAAACGTGAAAACCCTAAACACAGCTGTTTTAAACTAAGGAAAGCCAAGTACCTGGATTTTAGGTTTTTAAAGTACTGTTGATTTGGAGCTGTTTTTGTAAAAGTCACGAGAATTTGTTCCTGATTAATTCTTCAAAGAATTGAGGGACCTCTAAATTTCCAGAACACCCTCACCCTTATAGCACTGTATTCAAGAAAAAGGAGTGGTTGTCTTGATCTGCAGTTTGTGTTTGGAGGGGTTATTGGAGACAAACCTTGATATTTTATTTTTTAAAGATCCTTTCAGTAGGTGGGGTGCCTACTGGTTCTTTGTCCATGGTAATAAATTTGTAATGGACTGATTAGTTTGTGATAAAGGGTAAGAAGTCACCTTGATGGAGTGATGGGTTGTTTTGTATCCTGTTTCTCTCAGCCCACTTTTAAAGAAGACTAGTTTGTCCCTTGAACTAAATTCTCTAAATAGGATCAGTTATCTATTTGAATGAGGTTGAATACATTCACTGCTTTTAAATAGCAGTCTGTGGTGTGTTTACTAAATATCTACTGCAGTGGTGTATATATACTTGCTTGATGAAGTTTTTCATGTAGATTTTGAAATGATCTCTAACTTCATGTTGAGAATAAATGTAGATGAAGTAAGCTTATTCCCCATCCTTTGCCTTCCCAGAATGTTAGCTCTCAAGCTGAGCTAGATTGTAACCAATTTGTAGTCTTCTAACTATGGGCATATAAATGGGTAGATGGAAATGTTAGTTGTCAATGAATAGGATCATTTAAATCAGTGGGTAGGTGATATCCTTTATATTGATTTTTGAAGATTAACATTTGAACTTCGTGTACCTGTATACTTTTGAAGAATTTCAACTATCTTGTAGTACTATTTATAAAGCCTAAGCCAAGTGGAATTGTCATAGTAGTCATGTTGGCAGTGTTCTTCCGCACTCCAACCCCAGCATCTTAAGCAACCCCAGTCT